AATTAGCATGGACCATATTCCTAACTTTCAAATTAACACAAATAACAAGTGTGAAATTTGTGTTGAGGCAAAACTAACGAAAGTACCTTTCAAATCGATTGAAAGGGAAACTGAACCACTAGAATTAATCCATAGTGATTTGTGCGATTTTAGATCGATACAAACGAGAGGTGGTAATAAGTATTTTATCACGTTTATCGACGATAGCACACGATACTGCTATGTGTATTTGCTTAAGAGCAAAGATGAAGTCGTTGATAAATTCATTCTTTATAAGAATGAAGTGGAGAACCAACTTAATCGAAGAATTAAGAAGGTTAGAAGCGATCGAGGTGGTGAGTACGAAACACCTATTGGTGACTTCTGTGCAAGTGTAGGTATCATACACGAGCGTACGACACCTTACGCACCTCAATCGAACGGTGTTGCCGAACGAAAGAATCGTACATTGAAAGACATGATGAATGCGATGCTTATAAGTTCGGGCTTACCTCAAGATGCGTGGGGTGAGGCGATTTTGACAAGTAATTACCTTTTGAATAAGGTACCCCACAAGAAGCTCGATAAGACTCCTTATGAGCTGTGGAACGGTAGGAAACCTTCCTACCAGTACCTGAAAGTGTGGGGGTGTCTTGCCAAAGTTTTGGTGCCAACACCCAAGAAAGTAAAGATAGGTCCTAAGACGGTGGACTGTATCTTTATTGGCTATGCACATAATAGTAGTGCTTACCGGTTCTTAGTACACGAGTCCCATAATCCGGACGTACATGAGAACACGATAATAGAATCAAGGAATGCATATTTCTTTGAAAATATATTTCCTTGTAGGTCCAACGAGGGACCAAGTACGTCAAAACGAATGTTTGACGAAACTATGGATAATGATAGTGGGGAATCTGAGAAAGAACCCGAGCTCGAGTCGAGACGCAGTAAATGGGCGAGAGTTGGAAAATCATTTGGTCCTGATTTTCTAACTTACTTGTTAGAGTATGATTCAGGTACTCTAACTTGTTTATTAGAAAACGAAGCCGATTTTCTGTCTTGTTTGATAGAGAACGAGCCTCGAACGTATGTAGAAGCCGTGACTTCTACGGAAAGACCAGTGTGGAAAGAGGCTATAAAAAGTGAAGTGGATTCTATCCTACAGAATCACACTTGGGAACTTGTTGATCTTCCTCCGGGTAGTAAACCCTTAGGATCCAAATGGGTCTTTAAATGGAAGATGAAACTTGATGGTTCCATCGAGAAGTATAGGGCTAGGCTTGTAATCAAGGATTACAAGCAACGCGAGGGCCTTGATTACTTCGACACGTATTCTCCCCTGACGAGAATAAACTCCATTAGGATGATTCTTGCCATAGCCGCGCTGCGGAACTTGGAAGTTCATCAAATTGACGTTAAAACCACTTTCCTAAATGGCGAATTAGATGAGGAAATCTATATGGAACAACCCGAAGGGTTCGTGGTTCCGGGCCAAGAAAGGAAAGTGTGTAAGTTGGTTAAATCGCTCTATGGTTTAAAACAAGCGCCTAAGCAGTGGCACGAGAAGTTTGACCATGCGATGTTAACTAACGGGTTTAAAATAAACGAAAGTGACAAATGTGTCTACGTTAAAGAAACGATAGACGACTACATCATTCTTTGTTTATATGTCAATGATATTCTCATCGTTGGTAGTAATGATCGGATGATCAAGTCTACCAAAAACATGTTAAATGCGAGATTTGACATGAAGGATATGGGTTTGGCTGATTTAATCCTTGGGATTAGAATCATTAGAAGACCTAATGGTCTTGTGTTGAGCCAATCACATTATATTGACAAAATCCTTGAGAAATTTAACAAGGATGATGGTCAATTGGCTAGAACACCGTTTGATGTATAATGGGAAGTCTAGACATATGCGTCGGAGACATAATACCATTAGACAACTGCTCACAACTGGTGTTGTCTCGATTGACTACGTAAAGTCAAAAGACAATATAGCGGATCCGCTGACCAAAGGGTTAGGCAAAGAAGTTGACACAAGGAATGGGTTTAATGCCCTTGGACTAAAAAGTTCTATAGTGGATACCCCCAACCTAGTTAGCACCTAGGTTCAATAGGACAACTAAATTATGGAACGGAGCACGTCACTGTGGGGATCTCAGACTCCCTACCACTCCTCGTTAAAAACAGTGACTCCCGCACGAGGCTAGCATGTTAATGCTTTAATGATTCGAATGTCGGTTGACATATCTGAGTATGCGGGATACTCGAGAAAGAATCACCTATGTAAGAGAGAAGTGAGGATCGCTTCAAAGGAGAATTGATGGGCAACAATTCTTTAGAAACTCTCGCAGAACCAGAAAAGGTGACCCACGACCAAAACGAGCACACTCATGAGAGCAGAGCATGGTTGGGAGGTTCCTGTGTGAGATATGTCATCATCTACACAAACGACAGTCGGTTCAAAGACATCGCGTTCTACCGTACAGCCAGAAGAGTAAACATATCTTCACAAGGGAAGGTTCAAAGGGTATAGTGACTCCCTACCTATCCTATGTAGGGATCAACCGTTTGAACACAGTTGTTTCCGATTTCAAAATACCGTGAAAATCAATTTTTCATTCATGTGGGGGATTGTTGGAAAAATAGCTTAAAATGGCATAAAATGGCATGTTAAGTGGCTATTTTGTGGGTCGGGTCAAAGTGGATTCGGATTCTTCGTAGTGAGACGAAGAGACTGAATATTGTACGCTCAAAATAGATAATGGGTGAATGAGATATTGATTCTCAAAGTAAACCCATTGAGTTGGAAAAATGAAGGGAAAAAGTGAGCTTTTGTCCCACATTGGTTTGGAAAGAGGATTTGCCCCCCCTTTTATACAAGAGCTCTTTTGGAGCTTGTAGAATTGTATAGTATAGAGGCTCTCTCGCGCGGTGGGGGGTGCAAATCAAATTCCAATAAGAAACAAGATCAAAAAGGTTTGATTCAAGCCAGATCTCGTGTGCGGCCAATCGGTACCATTTTCCAACGAACACACACCACACACCACTGGTGTAAACTTCATATGTATGTTTTGGCCCTGCCTGGCCGAAACTAACTTGATGTTTCGGCCACCACGAACATGTCCTGTTGTGACTGTTGGGTGGTCAATTCAGCTGTTACGGAGTTAATTCTTTGAATTAATTCCAATTTTAATTTTTGAATTGAAACTCATGTTAATGGTTGCTGTTACAGGAAGGTGGAGGAGTGCCCTAAAGTGTCTATTAAAAGCTATTTAATCTCTCACCCCTATATAAGAAGGAGCTGGGCAGTAGAGATTTACACACAACAAGAAAGTATCTTTTACAGCCTCAAAACTCTCTGCTTCTACTCTTTCTTAGCCATACTGTGCTCATAATCTTGCTCATGTTCGTCGGATTCCTTGTTTGGGTGCTCAAACATTGAATCGTAGCAAGTTTTATCCTGGGAAGCCTAGGCCACAACGCTCCTAGCACTTTTGGGAAGTGGCAGATAAAGTTTTAAGGAAAGAGGGATCGCTTGACTCTTGCTAAAAACCCAACACCAAACACTAGCCAATCTCTTCATCTTCCCTTCCCCTTTTTTCAGAAAAATAATAATCTTATTTTATTGGATTATTATTTGTTTTTCACCAACGGAATTCACTTCTATCATCCCTTTAATTATCCTCCCAGCAATCGAATAAATTATCTTATCCCTTTACCTAACAACTTAAATTACATAAAAGTCATTTGACTTTTAAGTTTCTAGACTGTTCTGTCGATATTTGTCAATTTTGCTAATGGTTTTGTAAAATTAGCTACTTTTAGGACAACTGGAAAGAAAACGTGGCGGATCTATAATTGGGGGGTGGGTGGTGGAATAATATGATGGAACTAGGCCATTCCGTCGATATTTGTCAATTTTGCTAATGGTTTTGTAAAATTAGCTACTTTTAGGACAACTGGAAAGAAAACGTGGCGGATCTATAATTGGGGGGTGGGGGGGTGGGTGGTGGAATAATATGATGGAACTAGGCCATTCTTTTCTATCTAAGGGTGTGTTTGGAAACCCGGAAAATGACTTCTGGAAGTCATTTTCCGGGTTTTTGGTGTTTGGCTACATTGGAAAATGACTGGTCAAAGGAAAATGAGGAGAAGTCAATGGAAAAGGAAGGCAATTTTCTGGAAAATGACTTCCCCTTTTTTTTGGGGGAAGTCATTTTCCTTCCATCTTCTTTTCTTCCCATTTTCAACAGAGCTCTGCCTCCTCTTCAACATTTGCAATACAACTCACCAACACTTCCTCCTCCATCAATCCATAATCACAAAAGCTTCAACAACACTAGAAAAGCTATTGAGGTATATCTCATCTCTACACACCCTGAATTTTTTTTTTCTATGGATTTTACAGATCTATGAGTTTGTTTTTTTTTTTTTTCTTCACTGGTTTCCCCGCCGGAAACCCACTGATTTCCGGCGGGGAAACCAGTGCCTCTGGTTTCCGCATCGGAAACCAGAGAACTGGCTTCCGACGCGGAAACCAGCTCACTCACTGGTTTCCGCATCGGAAACCAGTGAGCTCGCTGGTTTCGCATCGGAAACCAGAAATGGTTTCCGATGCGAAACCAGCTCACTGGTTTCCCCGCCGGAAACCAGTGGGTTTCCGGCGGGGAAATCAGTGAAGAAAAAAAAAAATTCAAAACTTGTATGCTTTGATTGCTATACCAGTAGATTTGATGCCAGTAGATTTGATTGCCAGTAGATTTGATTTGATTATACATGATCTTAAACATAGCTATTCTAACTTTGAGATGGATGGTTTCATTGAACACATACATACAGTATATTTGATTATACATGATCTTGAAGAACTTGTATATTGGTTGCTGCTTATAATACACTTTGGTTGCTGCTTATTTGGTTTATTGATTTTGATCACTAATTATTGTGTGGTTATGACCTATGTGTTAGTTTTAATTGTGGTTATTTGTTATCATTTTTTTTGTGTATAGATGGATAGAAATCATGTGCGTGCAACTGTTATGGGTGCAGCAAGTGCTATACTAGCTATGGGAGTTCTTCTATTACAACAACTTAGGAATAGAAACCAAATAGAACATGACATTGTCAATAGAGATAATGAGCGAGAGAGTTACATAAATAGTATCTTGTGTGAGGGTGATAACAAATGCATTAGCGTTATTAGAATGCGACCTATTTCCTTTTATAAATTGTGTGACCTTCTTGCTACTAAGAACTTATTACGCACAACTAGAGCCGTAAGTATTAAGGAACAAGTTTTAATATTTTTACATATAATAGGTCACAATGTACGCTTTCGAGTAATTGGATCAAGGTATTATAGGTCAATTGAGACAATTCACCGTTACTTTAGAAGTGTTTTGAGAGCCATTTTATCTTTGTATACGAACCTCATAGTATTACCGGACGGTGAAGTAACTCCTCATGAAATCATTAGCAATCCGCGATTTTATCCCTATTTCAAAGATTGTTTAGGAGCAATAGATGGAACCCATATTCGTGCATCCGTGCCAATTAATATGCAAGGAAGTTTTCGCGGACGTAAGGGTGGAACAACACAAAATGTATTTGCTGCCGTCACTTTTGATTTGCGATTTTGTTATGTGCTAGCTGGGTGGGAAGGTAGTGCACATGATTCTCGAGTCTTGAACGATGCACTCACACGTCCAAATAAATTTAAAATTCCAGAAGGTATAAAATAAAATTATGTAATCACTTTTTACATTGTGTTGTTTGTTATTGCATATAAGTAATCAAATTATGTAAACTTGTAGGGAAATATTATCTTGGTGATGCTGGATATGGCATACGGAATGGAATACTTACTCCATACCGTGGTGTTAGATACCATTTGAAAGAGTTTAGTGCTCATCGTCCTGAGAATAAGAAAGAACTTTTCAATCTTCGTCATTCGTCCTTACGTACATCTATTGAGAGAGTGTTTGGAATTTTGAAGAAACGGTTCCGTGTGTTAGATGCTGAACCTTTTTGGGATTACCAGACACAAGTGGATATAGTTTTAGCTTGTTGTATAATTCATAACCATATTATGGGAGTTGATCCTAATGATGAGCTTAATCAAGCAACAGTTGATGTTGATGACGATAACTTGTTGCCCTTATCTCATACGCAAACAGAAGAAAGACAAGAAGTTAGACAATGGAATGCAAAGAGAGATGAGATCGCAGAACAAATGTGGAATGAATTTCTTATTAGGAACTAGTGTCTAGTTTCATATATTTGAGTATGCTTTGTTATTGGATATTATTAGTTACGTTGTTGAACATTTCTTATTGTTGTGTACTTGATTATGCTTTGTTATTGGATATTATTATATGGACATGAGTATGCTTTGTTAATGGATATTATGTTTCATTGGTTGACGTTGGTTGTTATTGTTTTTATGTTATTATAGAAACATGAATAAGGGAAAGGGAATTGCCACTTCTAGACAATTTCGGTGGACAAAGCCAATGGAGGGCGTATTTTTAAAGATATTAGCTGAAGAGGCTAGGAATCCCAATAATCCAACTAACAATTTTAGAACATCTTCATTCAATCGTGTTGCATCTACCATATCTGAACAATTTAATGTTGCATGTGAAGTCAAACATGTTGAGAATCACTTGAAAATAGTGAAGAACACATGGATGATGATATGCAAGCTGAAGGGGATGAGTGGTCTTGGATGGGATGATAACTTGAAAATGATTACATGTGATGAAGCCCCGTATATTGAGCTTATCACGGTAATATTTTATTATCATAATTTGACTATTGCATAAATCTAATGTTTTTTTATTAGAAAATATCTCATGTTTATTATTTATTTATAGGCAACTCCCAAGTATGAAACATTGTTGAACAGGAAGATTGACTACTACGATGAGATGTGCATTGTCGCTGGCAGAGATTGTGCCATAGGACGTTTTGCAAAATCTTTTGCAGATGTTACTTTAGATGGCCCTCATGATGAGATGTTGCCGGATAACAATGATGAAACCCTGCCTGAAGGAAATGATGAAGAAAGTAAGGGAAGAACATCTGCATCAACTGCGTCGTCTCAAAGATCCTTTCGTAAGCGAAAGTCACTTGACTTGAAGGTCGATGAAATTGCTGAACAACTTGGTAGCATTGCCGCAGCAATTAAATCTTTGAATACTGGCATTGATGAAAATCAGTTGTTTGCGGATGTGATGAGCATAGGTGATGGCTTTCATGAGGATGACCTATGTAAGGCATTTGAATACTTGATGACAAATGAGGTTCAGGCGAGGATTTTCAACACGAAAAATGCAAGTTTGAAGAGGAAATGGATTGAGAAATTTATTTCTTCTTCGGATTAAATTTTCTATGCCTTTTTTTGTTGGTTAACATGGATGTTAAGACTTGGATTGTAATATTTAAGACTTATTTTTATGTATGCTTTGTAGTTGGTTGGTTATGTTGGATCTTTAATACTTGATTATATTGGATCCTAAGACTTTGTGGATTTTAATTTTCAATACTTGATTTTGTTGATTCCTTTATGTTGTTTCTAACATGTAATTATGGTTTGAAATTGTCATATTATGACAATAGTTTTAATACTAGAAAGATAGATTGAGAGCAAAGACATTCGAATTAAATACAACTAAAATTTATGTAGCATGGAATTTGAAATAAAAATTGTTATATTATACAAAAAACAATAAAAATATATTTATCGAATAACAATTCCATTCTGTTCATTTTCTGGAAAATGAACCAAACACCAAAAGACAGTTTTCCATCATTTTCTGGAAAATGAACCAAACACCAAAAGACAGTTTTCCATTGTTCAGCCAAACACAGGAAAGGAAAATGACTTCTGGAAAATGACTCATTTTCCAGAAGTCATTTTCCAGAAGTCATTTTCCAGCTTTCCAAACGGACCCTAAATTTGTTTACTTTCCTCCTCCTAGTTTGGCTTTAAGCCATTCTTCTTCCAAAAGGCTGAACCCCAACCCTAAGAGCCCCCCACACTCCGACCCGACAGAGCATTTGGGAGGATGTAAATCATGGTAGGCTTTAAGCCATTCTTTTATTTACTTTATGTCACTACCTTTAATTAGTTGTTGTAACAAGTAACAACCATGCACCTTTTGGACAGTAAAATAGTCCTTGAGACCACAAACCATTCAACATTGTTTATGTTTAATTTTTAAACATTCAAGTTATTAGTTATTATCTTATATTGGTCCACTCATTAAGAGAAGTAATTTGGCCTGGACTATGATAATCACTCATCAAATTAAATTGGCCTTATTCAGCCAGGAAACTACAAGCTGAAAGATAAAATGATGTTGATGCGTAGTATATTTGCAAACAAATAATTCTCGGAGTACGAGTTATCGATCCACAGGGAAGTGGTTGTATCAAGCACTAGTTACTAACTTATTCATTAGAACTAATCCTAACAATTACTTGGATGATTGATTGGTATAAAATAAATAAAATAAAACAGAGGTTCAGGATTTTGAAAACAATTAGAGAGAAGTTGAGATTCATGGGATTCAAGTATTTAATCACCTAGTGCCAATTATCGTTTGCAATATTTAGTTTGGAATTAAGATTTGTGTGGGAATGCAAAGTGGAATCGAATTACTCCCGTAATCTCTATTCCTAGTGAATTTCCACTCCCTTGGCTTAAACACCCAATAAGATCAAAGATCAGCATTCAATTATTCCTAATTACTACCATCTCCCGATTGGCAACAATCTAGAACAATTAGAGAGAAGTTGAGATTCATGGGATTCAAGTATTTAATCACCTAGTGCCAATTATCGTTTGCAATATTTAGTTTGGAATTAAGATTTGTGTGGGAATGCAAAGTGGAATCGAATTACTCCCGTAATCTCTATTCCTAGTGAATTTCCACTCCCATGGCTTAAACACCCAATAAGATCAAAGATCAGCATTCAATTATTCCTAATTACTACCATCTCCCGATGGGCAACAATCTAGAATAAACTTCCCCTAATAAGTTCCCCTTTCCCAAGGACCAACCATTAGGTGCAATCGTGTGTGCCCTAATTTATGCCCCAACTCCCATTGGTGACACAAACATGGCTATGAAGCAAGTAACTATGGCCATTAATTACAAGCATCAAACAATATTATCACGATTGCAACACAAGTATTAAACCCAAATAATATTATATTAAAGAAACTGAGAGCTCAGGCACATAGGTTCATAAACACTTTTACCCAAGAATCTTTAAAGAATTTAGCCAAGCATGACTAAATTATACATAGCAAATATAAATAAAGAATTACAAATCATCAAAAGAGTACAAGAATTAACCAGACGATTTTCCCAAATCTCCCTAGTCTTCTTCTTGCTTTCCAAGACAACTTGTGGCTCTTGATTTCTCTCCTTCTTGTCTCCAAGAATCTCTGAATTCTCCCGGTCTCCCTTATTAGGGTTGAGGAAGGAGGGATTTTATAGTGGGTACAAAGTTGAGATGAAATAGGAATCTTGTACCAAATTGGACTCAAATTCTAATTCCTATATTTAAATAAAGAAATTGTCGTCTTTAATGATATTTAGAATTTGGAAGATTCCTTGAATTGCTAACTTTTAATATGGAGATATGAGCCTTGAAATCTGCGCAATTGATATTAGGAAAAGAGATCTCGCGCTTGTATTGAATTTTGCCCAGCTGCGCCACTTTAAGCGTCTGTTTTTATCCCAGAAACGGACGCATATTTGACGCGTCGAGAATTTTCTCGACGCGTCGAGACTTCCTGTGCGCGAATTAGTTAGCTACTGGAAAATTTCGACGTGCTCGACGCGTCGAGTCCACTGGGCCCCGAACTCATCCAAAATTGCTCCAAACTCATCCTTGAACTCCCCTTGGTCATATCTTTGACCTAAAATGGTTCAAAAACACTAACAAACACCGTAAAATATTCAAAACAAGTGCGAACCATAATTAAATGATAATAGCAAGGAAAACATGTATTAAATAAGCAAAATTAAAGAGCTTAATTACTGTGATGATTCAAAATAACCATAAAAACAAGCACAGATGTGATAACATCACCCCCTCACACTTAAGCTTTTGCTTGTCCTCAAGCAAAACTAAGGAATAAAATCACAAGTCAAAACGTACAAATTACTCATGCTCTCTCTTGCACAACCTTTCAAACCACCAACCCACTTGCTACAAAACAACAAGCTTCAAGAATCAAATTAGTTTGGCACATAAGAGACCCATTTCCAAGCCAATAACCAAGCACCAAGAATTTAAAGCATGTGAGGATCAAATGTGCACAAATACTCAGTTGAGATTATGCAAGATACGGTTCATGAATGAGATCCCTTAGGCTTGCCTTTCATACTCCCCTAGATCAAATCTAAGAATGCATGCTAAGATCAAATAGGACTTAATTTAGCTTGTAATGGGGCTACGGGTGATGGCTAACAAAGAAGTGGTATGGAAAAATTAATCAAAAAGAGAGAATGTCACAATTTATCTAAACTTTTCAAAATTTGGAAGAGATGAGATAATCATAATTCCAAGGAGCAAATTTCTTTTAAGAACTTAGCATCTCTTTGGTAAAGTGGGGATCCAAACTCAAAAACTTTCAATCTTTTTTTTTTCTCATTCTTTTCTTTGTCTTTGGACTTCTTTTGGATATAGCAAGATAATTTTAATCCAAACTTTCATGACCTCCACACTTGAACATTTGTAACACTAGTTGCTTTTTTTCGTAGAACAACTCCATAAAACTCTTCTTACGGAAAAGATAAAGATAAAAGTTTCATTCTCTCAAGGATGGAAGGGAAATATTTGGCCACGGGCTAAGGGTTAATGGGGTAAATCAAAGAAAAACAATCATAAAGAGGGGATAAGTGCTTAGCACTTATTTGAACAAACAAAAGGCACAATGAAGACACGAAGGATAAAAATATATATAGGGACAGGTTTAAAGGCTATGGCTAAACAATAATGGCCTAAATCACTTCAAAACATGCAAAACTTAGACATCACTTAGGGAATAATGAGGCAAGTTCTAGCAAAACACCCATGACCGGAATCTCACATAAGCCTTCACTAGCAATGCAAAACACAAGATCAAGAATTAATCCAATTATTAAGTGGTTAACAAAGCTATTGGCAAGGGAATAGATCAAATATGTGTTACACCTCAAATCATCCATCACAAATTGAGATGCAGCAAGCACCACTAAAACAAACCACAAACCAACAAGAGAGAATAATTGTAACTGCATGCTAAGACAAGTAGCTTATTCACCAAAAATAGCATATGAGTCATCCAAGCAAAAGCAAAAAATTTTAAAATTTAGAAATATCCCCAAATTAATGATTCATCCCCCTCACACTTAAAACTTTGCATCGTCCCTTATGCAAAATAAAAGAAAAGGAGAACAAGAGAAAAGAGAAAACTAATAAGCAATAAAATAATCACGAACTAGAAAGTAATAAAACTAAATAAGACGAAACTAGAAAGCAATAAATAAATAGGGAAAGTAATGAAAGATAACATGGGGTGCCTCCCATGAAGCGCTAAATTTAACGTCGTTAGCTCGACGTTACCTCTCTAGCCATCAAGTGATTGGAGAAGAAAAATCCCCTTCTTTCCATCAACTTTCTCTTCCAAGTATTTCTTCAAGTGGTGTCCATTTATAAACTCTCTTAAGCTCGAACCCTTCACGTCATCATGTAAGGAACCACATTTGCCCGAATCAAGAATTATGCCTCCATTCTCTTTTCCTTCTTTTTCAACACTCTTTTGTTCAACAAGTAATGAGAGTCTCGGATCATTCACATGAACCAGCAAGTATTGGGAATCATTGGATATATAGATAGGCAAATGTGTGTCATTATCCTTAAGAACTCCAATGCCTCCCAAATTCAAAATTTCTCTGAAGTTCTCTCCAAGGGAAGTGTTCTCCATTGGTGAGACATCCTCATTCAAATCATGCGCTCCATTAAGAACTTCCTCATCTAATGGGCAACTCTCTATATGTTCCTTGCCATCATTACCTTGCAACTCTACATTTTCCTCCGAGCTTGGTGTCTCCATCTCAATGCATTTATCAAATATTTCTTCATCTCCCTCTCTAAGATCCTCATCATCTTTTTTATTTCTCTCAACTTCATGACCTTCATTTGGCAAGAGCAACTCTTCTAGAACCTCTCCATTAAATGAATCTTGAAGTGGCTCTTGAATTGTCAAATCTTGCTGTCGAGCCATCATGTGATCGAGTCGAGCATTCATGCGATCAAGTTGAGCATTCATGTGATCTTGTAACTCCAGATATTTCGAGCACAATTGCATTAACTTGGTCTCTTTGGACTTCATCTCAATTATTTGGTCAAGTGATTGACAATCTTGTTGAAACTCTTGGTACGGCAACTCTTGAGCTCGCCCTTGATACTTGTAATTGGGATCCATGATAAAGCAATTTTCCGCCTCATGAGATCCACCACATATCATGCACCATGAGGGTTGTGGAGTAGGTGGTGTGCATCTTTGATAAGTAGCTTGACTCATGTTGGCACAAAATCCTTGAGTAGGTTGTTGAGGGATATGGTTGGTGGGGTTGAGCATGTAACAATTTTCCACAAAGTGATTCCCACCACAAAATGAGCACCATTGGGGTTGTGATGTTTGATATGAACTTTCTTGATAATACCCTTGACTAGAGTTGGCAAAATTTGAGAAAGGGAATTGTTGTTCCATTCCTCCATATTCTCGATTCATATTCCAACTCATCTCATAACCTTGAGAAGGAGGGTAAAACGGTGGCATGGTTCCTTGGAATGCATATCTATCCATAAACTAAATCACACTCAAAACAATGAACTTGTTATGGGTTAGCAAAATAAAATAAAATAAAATAAAAATAAATAAAAAATGGACTAGTCTCCTAGAATAAAGATTTCACTAATGTTAATACTAGAAACGCCACTTCCCCGGCAACGGCGCCAATTTGATGCGTAGTATATTTGCAAACAAATAATTCTCGGAGTACGAGTTATCGATCCACAGGGAAGTGGTTGTATCAAGCACTAGTTACTAACTTATTCATTAGAACTAATCCTAACAATTACTTAGATGATTGATTGTCATAAAATAAATAAAATAAAACAGAGGTTCAGGATTTTGAAAACAATTAGAGAGAAGTTGAGATTCATGGGATTCAAGTATTTAATCACCTAGTGCCAATTATCGTTTGCAATATTTAGTTTGGAATTAAGATTTGTGTGGGAATGCAAAGTGGAATCGAATTACTCCCGTAATCTCTATTCCTAGTGAATTTCCACTCCCATGGCTTAAACACCCAATAAGATCAAAGATCAGCATTCAATTATTCCTAATTACTACCATCTCCCGATTGGCAACAATCTAGAATAAACTTCCCCTAATAAGTTCCCCTTTCCCAAGGACCAACCATTAGGTGCAATCGTGTTTGCCCTAATTTATGCCCCAACTCCCATTGGTGACACAAACATGGCTATGAAGCAGGTAACTATGGCCATTAATTACAAGCATCAAACAATATTATCACGATTGTAACACACGTATTAAACTCAAATAATAATATATTAAAGAAACTGAGAGCTCAGGCACATAGGTTCATAAACACTTTTACCCAAGAATCTCTAAAGAATTTAGCCAAGCATGACTAAATTATACATAGCAAATATAAATAAAGAATTACAAATCATCAAAAGAGTACAAGAATTAACCAGACGATTTTCCCAAATCTCCCTAGTCTTCTTCTTGCTTTCCAAGACAACTTGTGGCTCTTGATTTCTCTCCTTCTTGTCTCCAAGAATCTCTGAATTCTCCCGGTCTCCCTTATTAGGGTTGAGGAAGGAGGGATTTTATAGTGGGTACAAAGTTGAGATGAAATAGGAATCTTGTACCAAATTGGACTCAAATTCTAATTCCTATATTTAAATAAAGAAATTGTCGTCTTTAATGATATTTAGAATTTGGAAGATTCCTTGAATTGCTAACTTTTAATATGGAGATATGAGCCTTGAAATCCGCGCAATTGATATTAGGAAAAGAGATCTCGCGCTTGTATTGAATTTTGCCCAGCTGCGCCACTTTAAGCGTCTGTTTTTATCCCAGAAACGGACGCATATTCGACGCGTCGAGACTTCCTGTGCGCGAATTAGTTAGCTACTGGAAAATTTCGACGTACTCGACGCGTCGAGTCCACTGGGCCCCGAACTCATCCAAAATTGCTCCAAACTCATCCTTGAACTCCCCTTGGTCATATCTTTAACCTAAAATGGTTCAAAAACACTAACAAACACCGTAAAATATTCAAAACAAGTGCGAACCATAATTAAATGATAATAGCAAGGAAAACATGTATTAAATAAGCAAAATTAAAGAGCTTAATTACTGTGATGATTCAAAATAACCATAAAAACAAGCACAGATGTGATAACATCAAATGTTCAAATTCAATTGCAACATATCAGATCAGATAAATTAAACTAAAAAGTAATAGGCATGTGCAAATGATAATATGGAGTTTAACCACAAATTTCATAGGTACATACGTACACACTTTGGCTTTCATAAATTTATATTCCTCACTCTATTTCTTCTTAGATATTACAAAAATTTCCTCTTCAATTCTTTGAATGCATTCAGTAATTTTGACAACTTCTTCTTCAGATATTTCATCACTCTCTTCCGAGCTTTCGAACTTTCTTGATGAGATCTTTCAACACTTAATTCATTAGACCTTCCCACGCTTCCTTCTATAGAGCTTTCCACACTTTCTACTTCTTCAGAGCTTTCATTATTTCGCAATTCAATCTTAAAAAATAATTGAAAATGAGTATAAAAATAAATAATTAAATTAATGCATGGAATTAGAAGGCAAAAAACTAATATTTTGAAATAAGGAACAAGAATTAGAGAGAAACCTTAGAGCTTCCCACGCTTTCTTCTTTAGATTTTTCCACACATTCTTCTTTAGAGCTTTTCACATTTTCTTCTTCAGAGCTTTCTACAGTTTCCTCTTCAAAGCCTTCATTATTTGGCAATTCAACCTTGAAAAGTAATTGAAAATAAGTACAAAAATAAATACTTGAATTAATATGTGGAATTAGAAGGCAGTAAACTACTCTATAATATTTTGAAATAATGAACAAGAATTATTAGAGAGAAACCTTACAGCTTCCCGTGCATTCTTCTTCAGAGTTTTCTACAGTTTCTACTTCAAAGCTTTCATTATTTGGCAATTCAACTTTGAAAAGTAATTGAAAATGAGTACAAAAATAAACTGTTAATTAAATTAATACATGGAATTCACTATTAGAAATTATGGAATTTCTGACCACCTGAAAGTGATCTTAAATCAAGTCGAAAGCCTTGTTCCGACCACTTTTGATATCTGGAAAAAAACTTTGTTGATATTTCCGACCACTTTTTGCTTTCGACTTGATTTAAGATCACTTTCAGGTGGTCGGAAATTCCATAATATCCAGCAGTGGAATTAGAAGGCAAAAAACTAATATTTTGAAATAATGAACAAGAATTAGAGATAAACCTTAGTTGACACTTTGCAAACACGAAGTGAACAATCTGCCCTTCTCACAAATAATAATTTCTTTGCAGAAGAAACCTGCTTTGCAGAAGTCACAAGAGAAGAATAGCAACATTCTAACACAATTGTCTTCAGTGTTCTAATATTTGCAAAATTAATTGGAACTTGTTTTAATTCCCAACAATATTTTAAGACTAAGCGCTCCAAAAATGGGAAATGACACTAAAACTTGTATTCCAATGTTGGAGGTGCCTTTAATTCCCCAAAGCCCTGCTCCGATGGTTCCCGCGTTGAGCCACAAAAGGCAAAATCTTTTAGTTTAAGCACTTTAAGGTGCGGCAACTTGCCAATTGTGTCCATCTCCTTCCATGAAAGATAAGTATAATGAAGTGTCAACTTCTTAAGGTTTGGTGGGAAACTTGTTGGAAGACAAAAGCGCTTGACCCTTCCTATTTCAAACTTCAACTTCTAAGTAGATGTAAATGCATAAGGCTCCCTAGATGGCTAGGCACCAATTGGCCTTCAATTTAAATCCCAAGTTCCATTAGGTTTGGAACCATTCCGAAGTTTGATTTTTTGTCGGAGCTAGCAACTTTTAACCAATAAAGAGTTTGTAGATTATTTTTGATTAAGCAAAGGGAGATATTGTGAACATCTCTTGTCAACATCCAAATGCCTCAATTGTGGCAAATCCAAAATATTACATCCCATTTGCAAAGGACATTTTTCCATCCATGCATGAAGAAACTATGAGAGTAAGCAAATTTTTAAGCTTAAAAAATCCAAACTTGTAAAGAGAACCAATAGTACTTAAAGCCAAGTATCTCAAATGAATTAAATCTGTTATTTCACAAGGCATGCATTGTGAGCATTTCACTAATTATAAATCCAATACTCTTAGAACTTTCAAACATGGGTATACCAATCTGCATTTTGAATGGCATACATCTTTACCAAAGTAGAGCACAGAATGGATATTATCTAGTGTGCAATTCCCATAACTTGCTTGAGTGATTGGCCAATGACTTGTTTGACAACTTAACCAATGACTAGCGTTTGAAGCATGATTGTCGTTATTGATAATGCACAAAGTATTCCCCGTTATAGCTTCTCTCACACAAACCGCATGCACTCGATCATGAAGCTTACATAATTTGACTTTGTCATCAATACTGAGCTCATTAATTTAGAGTAGATTTCTATTAATGAGATCATGCAAGTAATTTTCTGCCACTTCTTCCAAACCCATATTTTTATGTGGCAATAAAAATCCCTCTGCAACCCATAATTTGATTAATTTCATTACAAGAATGACATTGTCTTCAGGAAACACACCAAAATATTGAAAGCAAGCTTTCAAGTGACTAGGTAAGTAGTTGTAGCTCAATGAAAGTATTTTTGAAATTCTGTTGGTTATTATCAAGTGCATCCAAAGTTTACTCAACATCTCTCCATATTTCTAGATCAGAGACTCTTTTACTGTAGCCAAAAGCCCAGCAATCACAACAATTCCTAGTGGTGAAATACAACGTAATAGACCAATGAGCATCTCTTTGAGGTTATGAACTTGAGACACAACTACCCATGCTCGAATGCGAAAACAAGCAATAGTAATTGGATGTCCATAGACTCTTTTGGCTAATGTAGTTTTTCCTATGCCTCCTTCCCCCACGAGTGGGATAACTTGTAGTTTCATCTCTGGATTTTCAACATATTTCCGGAACTGTTCAATGTTACTAATCCTCAACATGGTGAAAACTGGTAAGTGTAAATAAGAGAACCGGTTAATTATCGTCTCTATATCACTGTCAAATCCTACAATTACTTCATTCTCAGGCTCTAAAGCATTTTGGTAGGCATCCCAAACCCAATATTCTCTTCCTCATCAGGCTCTAAAGCAGTTATCTTTTTTTATCTCCACGATCAATTCTCGAGCTTCCTCAATATCTCCTACCACTTGTTTCAAGGTCCAATGAAGTTTATAACTAGCCACATGTGCAGACTGATTCTGTCCCCTGTTTGCTGCAGAATATACTCGTCTCAGTTTAGATTCTATATTGTAATATTCATATCTTCCAGCAACTTTATGTCGGATTGCTTCATAGATTATCTTAACGCAGATTCCCTGGCAAGGTAAACGTGGATGCATAAATAACACCAGGAAAAAATGCTATAAACTTATAATTCAGAGGAAAAGAGTGTCATTTTCCCTAACATAATAATTGACAAACTTTTCATTTTAATTATTATTAAGAGTAGTGGAGTACAGACTAATGGGAATCATCCATGTACTTTTTCTTTTTAATTAATTCCGTCGATAAAGCTAGTCCCGCAAGCAGTCATGCGCACATGTTATTGGGCATTTTTCTGTACATGTTCTCAATGAGATTCAAATCTCACAGTGCCCCCTCCAATCATGACTTTTAAATTAGACGACGAATCAATTACGCTACTGATTAACATACACTTCCGGTATATGTTTAGCATTTTTTTGGCATTACTCTATACATTTTGTGTTAAATTAGTATCTCCATACCCGATTTCAACTATACAAATCTAATGAAGCATGTAGTGTTCGTATCCCACAATAACTACAAATGCTGGTATTATCTAGTCTAAATATATGTTGATGAACTAATTAAACAATTAAAATAAAACAAAAAATTAACCAACAATCAGGACAAGCAGAAATTATCTAAAACAAAGTTAAGGAAATCAACTGGTGAATAAAGAGTATTTGAATCTATGAATCTCCTAGGACCTCCATTGACCCTAATAAATAACTACTCAAAACAATTGCATTTTCCTTGAGACCATAAAACCTCATAAATTTATGCTAATATGAAAATCTCGTCTAAATTAAAACTCGATTGCAGAGAGACCAACCTTAGTTACGTTCCGAGATCACAAACACCAAATGCCCAGTCTCTCTTTCTTTGGACCTTAGCTTTCAATAAATATTGTTTACATAAGTCACAAGAGAAGCGTAACAACTTTTAATAACATAATTGATTTCAAAATTCTAATATTTGCAAAAGTAATCAGAACTTTTTTCAAGTCTCAACTCCCAACAATGTCTCAAGACTAGGAGGTCCGGGAAAATGATCAACATTTACATTTCAATGTTTGAGATCCAATCGCTCAATAATGAGTGCCTTTAATCCCTGAAAGCACCATTTTATTGGCTCCCACACTAAGCCACAAAAGGCAAAATCTTTTAATTCGAGCACTTCAAGATTGGGTAATTAGCCAGTTATGGTTATTTCCTCTCAAGGGAGATATGTATACCAAAATGTCAACCTCTTTAGATTTGGTGAAAAACCGCTAGGAAGATAAAAGCGTTCAACCCTTCTCAAGTCAAATTTTAACTTCTCAGGTTGACGTAAATGGACAAGACTCTCCAGACAACTATGTGTCATTTCACCTTCAATATAAATCCCTAGTTCCTTTTAAGTTTGGAACCAGTCTAAAGTTCAATATTTCATCTAAGCTACCAATTAACTCTCAACCAGTAAAAAGCATTATATTTAAATATGTTGTAAAAGAATACTTAGTTGAATAGTGGATTGTTACAACTTAGCCATGGTGACATTAGAGCAGAAAAATATCATAACACACAAAGCTAAATTGTTCAGATCAAATGGAAACCAAAAATAAAACATCTTATATTGATGCACCTCTGACCAGCACTTGAAGAATTGCAGCAAGAAACTCTTCCTGTTTATTTCTCCCGAAAAGCGGGATGATTAGACAAATTCCCAACCAAAGAGACAGATCACCACCAATCTGGATTGTACTGGACAAATGGCTATACTTATCAACTTCATCAATGATGACCTTATTAACTTCAGCCAGGAACCTACAGGCTGAAAGATAAAGGAAGTTCAAATACAGATCAGAATAATCTCTTTGGACAAAATTACAATAAATGGTGCATTTATCAACTATTGGATTCCTGATTTAGTCCCTCGACTAGATGACTGCTGGATTTTCCACTTTTGTGGTTATCAACTTCCAAAATTGAATACATTTTATACCTAATGACTTTGAAAACTTGCCAGTTTTAGCCCAAGAAGAAAAAAATTTAGTTCCAGATTAAGTTCCTGACTATAGGACCATAAAGTGGCAAGTTTTAAAAACTCAGGTATCGAATTTTTGATTGATTTTGAGGTTGATGATGGGAAGTACAAATCAAATAGTTCATTTGCAACACATCAGAATAACCTTTCCTCAGTCACTGCACTTTCTTCTTCAAAGCATTCACTAGAATAACTTCTTCACATATTTCATCACATTCTTATCAGCTTTCAACATTTCTTCTTCAGATCTTTCAATAATAGGCAATTCAACCTTGAAAAGTAATTGAAAATGAGTAAAAAAATCAGAAAACTAATAGGCAATTCAATAATTAACTAATACATGGAATTAGAATGCAGAAAACTAATATTTTGAAATAATGAACAAAAATTAGAGAGAAACCTTATTTCCAACTTTACCAACACGAAGTGGAGCCTTTCCCTTTAATGTTCCGCTTTTTGCAGAAGAAATCTGCAATGCAGAAGTCACAAGAGAAGAATAACAACATTCTAATACAATTAAATTCAGTGTTCCAATTTTTGCAAACTTCAGTGGAACTTGTTTCAATTCCCAACAATATCTCAAGACTAGGCGCTCCAAAACTGGGAAATGATTAGAACTTGCATGCCAATGTTTGAGATCTGAACGTGAAATAAGAAGTGCCTTTAACTTCCGAAAGCCCTGCTTCGATGGTTCCCACGTTGGACCACAAAAGGCAAAATCTTTTAGTTTAAGCACCTCAAGGCGCGGCAACTTGCCAATTGTGTCCATCTCCTTCCATGGAAGATAAGTATAACGAAGTGTCAACTTCTTAAGGTTTGGTGGAAAACCTGTTGGTAGATAAAAGCGCTCAACTCTTCCTACTTCAAACTTCAACTTCTCAAGTAGATCTAAATACACAAGGCTCCCTAGATAGCTAGGCTCCAGTTGGCCTTCAATGAAAATCCCAAGTTCCCTTAGGTTAGGAACCATTATGAAGTTTGGTTTTTTGTTAGAGCTAGCAACTTTCAACCAATAAAGAGTTTGTAGATCTTTTTTTACTAAGCAAGGGAGATATTGTGAGCATCTCTTGTCAACATGCAAATGCCTCAATTTTGGCAAATCCAACATATCACATGGCAGTTGCAAAGGACATTTTTCCATCCATGAAGTAACTATGAGAGTTACCAAATTCTTAAGCTTGAAAAATCGAAACTCGTAAAGAGAGCCAATGGTACTTAAAGCCAAGTATCTCAAATGAACCAAGTCTGTTATTTCAGGAGGCATGCCTTGTGAGCATTTAACTAATGATAAATCCAATACTCTTAGCGATTTCAAACATGGGTATACAAACCTACATTTTGAATGGTTTACATCTTTACCAAAGCAGAGAATAGAATGGATTTTATTTGGCATGCAATTTCCATAACTCGTTTGAGTGATCGGCCAATGACTTGTTTGGCAGCTTAACCAACAACTAGCTTTTGGAGTATGATTGTCAGTGATAATGCACAAAGTATCACCCTTTATTGTTTCTCTCACACAAAACTCGTGCACTTGATCATGAAGCTTACATGATTTAACTTTGCCGTCAATACTTAGCTCATTAATTTGAACTAGACTTCTATTAATGAGATCATCCAAGTAACTCTCTGCCACTTCTTCCAAACTCATATTGATATGTGGCCTTATAAATCCCTCTGCAATCCATAAGTTGATTAATCTCTTAACAGGAATGACATTGTCTTCAGGAAACACACCAAAATAATGAATGCAATCTTTCAAGTGATGAGGTAAGTACATGTAGCTCAATAAAAGAATTTTTGAAATTCTGTTGTTATTATCATTTCTATCAACTTCATCCAAAGTTTCTGCAACATATCTCCATACTACTGGAGACTCTGTTGTAACCAAAAGCCCGGCAATCAGAACAACTGCTAGCGGTAATCCACCGCAACCACGAACAATGCGCTCCTCAACTGAGAAATTTCCCCTGCTAATATAACTTTGCCCAAACACCTTTCTTGAAAATAATTGCCTACAATCCTTTGGAGTTTGATGAAGCACATGGTAGGGATTTGCACTTAAGTATTCAGCCACCTCTTTGAACCGAGTAGTTACTAAGATTCGGCTTCCATTAAAATTATCTGGAAAACATCCTTGGATGGCATCCCACGCCGCAGTGGTCCATATATCGTCTAATAAAATTACATACTTCTTGCCCATCAAACTTCTGCATAATTGCTTAGCTATTTGAGCATCGTCTAGGTTGTAGATTTCACTTGTTATTGGTGAAATACAACGTAATAGACCAATGAGCATCTCTTTGAGGTTTTGAACCTGAGACACAACTACCCATGCTCGAATGTGAAAGCTAGCAATAGTAATTGGATGTCCATAGACTTTTTGGCTAATGTAGTTTTTCCAATGCCTCCTTCCCCGACGAGTGGGATAACTTGTAGTTTCAGCACTAGGTTTTCTACATATCTTCGAAACTTGTCTATGTTACTATTCCTCAAAATGGTGAAAACTGATCTCATCAAGTGTGAATAACAGAGCCGATTAATTATCTTCTCTATATCACTGTTGAATCCCGTAGTTACTTCACTCTCAGGCACTAAAGCATTTTGGTAGGTATCCCAAACAGTAATGTTCTCTTTCTCAGGCGCTAAAGCAGTTCTTTTATTGTTCGCCAGGATCCGTTCTTCAACATGCTCAATATCTATTACCACTTGTTTCAAGGTCTGGTGAAGTTTTTCGTTAGCCTTAGATACATACCCTTTCCCGGTTGCTGCCAAATATACTCCTCTTAGTTTATATTCTATTTCATTTTTGTAATATCTTTGGACTGGCTCATGCAGAAAAGTCTTATCCCAAGAGTACCCGTCATTCATTTTGGTCTTAAGTTCTTCCAAAAAGGCTTGCATAAAGCAGAGCTTTGCAGACAGCAACTCGATTGTTTCAAGCAGCGCCACCATCAATCCTCCGGCATCAAAAATCGAAAGTAGTTTGGGCTCCACAAGGTCTTGCTCTACTATTTTGATTAGGCTAGTTAGAGCATCAAATGCCATTATATTGAACTTCCCTAAAGTGTTTCTGGAACTGATATAAGAGTTATTAGTCTCAATTATTGAGCAAGAAAATAGCAGAGATAATGGTGCATGCAAGATGGGTTAAAATCTTGTGAATTATAGTATCATCAGCAAAACCATTGCATCTTCTACCATTTCAATTATTTGTATGCTGAGGGGCGGCTAATATGACAATATATATATATATATATATATATATATATATATATATATATATATATATATATATATATATATATATATATATATATATATATATAAGTCTTCATGAATATTTTCATACACAGTGAACACAATTAAAAATATTGTCCAAAATTAATAAATTTGATAGTGAATAAACATCTGGCAAAAAGTAAAGGCATCGAGAGGGAAAATGTAATGGTGAGTGAGTTATGCAAAACTGTATCAAAGTAAAAAAGGAATTGAAGTGAAGCTGGAGAAAGTATGAAACATACCTTAGGTTGAAGAAGAGCAGGAGTTAGTAAATTGGGTTTGGGTAATATGAGATCAGATATGATCAGAGTTATTGAATTTATTGAGCAAGAAATGAAATGAGTATAGCAGAAATGATGAGAGATGGGATAAGATCTGAATTATTGATGGGAGCGATTTAACTTTTCTTCTTTCAAAAGGCTGAACCCCAACCCTAAGGGCCCCCTCTATGACTCAACTGAACAAGATCGGTGCTCACTGCGCACAAGGAGCTCCTCTCACTTTGAGAAGCCGCTGGTGAGACTCAATCTCTGGTCATTCTTCCAAATTTTCACCTCTATGACCAGTTGAGCTACCCATGCGGACCAATTTAACTTTTCTTTTAATTATTATTGGGGGCCATTAATGTACTTTAAAAAAAAAATAACAATTTTAGTCTATTAATTATATATAAATTGTAGACATTATATAGAGAGATGAGAGTTACCAAATATCTTTCTACACTCAGCTATCAACTAGTCAAATCCACTAATTCAATCAGAGAAAATGAATAGAGTGATGTTGGAGAGAGTGTAAAAGATGCATACCTTAGGTTGATGACGATGGAGATGGAGTAAGTGAATTAGTCTGAGTTGTTGACTTTATGGAGTAGAGCAGATAAAATATGGAAACTTGAACTAATCTCAGGTCCAGTGTTTCTGAATTGAACCCAGATGAGAGTTATGGAGAGAGCAGAGATGAAATGAGTATATAGCGAGCAGAGATAGAGGATGAGAGTTGAGAGAGAGAGAAAAGAGATCTTATCTTATCTGAGGAATTATTGATGCTGGAAATTAAGATCTACACTCTACACCCAACAACCAAGTCAAAAGTCAACTGATGGTATGATTGGTATCTTTTGGATTTTTATTTTGAGTTAATTTCATTTTTATCATAAATTTATAAATAACATTTTATTTTTAGTCTCTTTCTTTTTTTTTTTTTTTTCCTAAAGCATCTTCTTTGGTCCAAGTATTATTTTAACATGATTATTATTTTGTTCTTTATCAACAAAACAGTTTATATGCCCTTAGATACAAGAACATTTCGGTCTTCAAATATGTTTTTTTTTTTAATAAAAATAAAAAATAAAAATACAATGGGTCAATCCACTTTATATAAATAAATAAAAAATCACAATACCCTTGTATTTAACGTTATTTCAACAACTTGTATTTTCACTCATGCGATGCACGGAGTGAATTTGTTGTAATATATTAAGAATATTTGAATAGATATATAATAATTTAAATTAGAACATCCAATATTATATAGTGAAATTAAAGATATGGTTTAGATCGTTTATGTATTTTTATGTTATTATTATTGCTTGAATTTGTGCAAATAATAGCTCAAATTAATAGCTAATGTCTAGATGTACACATGCGGTGTTATAACTTCGAAAATTTAATTTATCATTGTTTAGTATTTATCATTGTCTGTAAAATGTTTTCTTAAAATAAAAACTAAAATAAAAAGTCATTAAGCTAAGGCTTCTTAAATAAGAGTCTTTTGGCTTCTCAATACTTGTCGACGTTGATGGGCAAGCAATTATGCTCGGAAGAGGAGCATTGCTCAAAACTCCTCTTTCCAAACATACATTTACTATTGATGATGTAGAATATTATTATTGAAATATTTCCTTTCCATTTTTAATTTTCGTTCCATTATTTGAAATTGTGAAAAATTTATGATATAATTGTGATTTGATTTATTCTACTGTGTAATATTATTATGAAAAATTAAAATGCAATAATTTGACCATTTCCTTTTCCATTTTAGTCAATTATGGATACATTTTTTTTATTTTCAGTCAATTATAAATATTCATTTCCTTTTTCAATTAACGTAATTTTCATTCATTTTTCAATTTTTAATTTTCAGTCAATTATTAATATTCATTTCATTTTCCAATTTACATAATTCTTGTTCCATTTTTAATTGATGATGTAAAATATTATTGTGACATATTTCTATTCGTTTTTTAGTTTACGTTCCTTTTTAATTTACCTTTACTATTTACTATTGTTTGTGCGGAAATCAAGTAAATAAGATTTTGTTTTTAATTATAGTATAGATTATTACTATTATTATTATTATTATTATTATTATTATTATTATTATTATTATTATTATTATTATTATATTTCATTTTTATATTATTACATATGGTTTTTATTATACTTGAACAATATATATATATATATATATATATATATATATATATATATATATATATATATATATATATATATATATATATATATATATATATAAGTATAATTAAATGTTCTTGTATTCTATTCCGTGAGACACAGTAATAATATAACCATAATTAAATATTATTGTATTCTATATTCTTCTAGGATTTCTATTACTATCATTAATTATTTCTTAGTTTACCATAATTAAATAATTTGACTAATACAACGAGTTTGGGCCAAAAAATGCTAGTCAGATTGGAGTGCGTTCTTTGCTACAACAACATATCTCGAGAGAATCATTTCAATTGGGCAAATGGCATGCAACGATTCAATTTGGTTGTTGTTACAATTATGAGTGGTAAAATTACTTTTTTTTTTCTATTTCTAAGTTATTTCTTGTGGAGAAATTATGTGTATTTTTTTACATTAAAGATTTACATTACTTTTTCATACTTTATTTTTATTTGTAATTATCAAATTAATTACTATATATAAAAAAATAATTTATTAAAAGGCATGATATTTATTTATATAATAATTATTTCCATATGAACGTATGTAACTGTTAATTCCAGAATTACATATAGGTATAATAGGATAATATTATATTTACATATTATTATATACATATATATTATTCCAAAATATATACATATATATCGTACATCATATATAGTTATTAGGATCAGATTTAGGAATGATATATATAATTGGGTAAAATAATTTAATTGTATATATTAATTTAAAAATAACCTATTAAAAGGTTTGAAATGATATAATAAATTATTTTAAAATTATTTGGTAGATTGGAATGTCACAAAAGTATCCCTTCAATTAGAAATTTTTATTTGTAATTATGAAATTAATTACCATATATAAAACTATAAAAATAGTCTATTAAAAGGTAGAATATTTATTTATATAATAATTATTTCCATATGAACGTATGTAACTGTCAATTCCATAATTACATATAGATATAATAGGATAATACTATATTTATATATTATTATATAGTTATTAGGATCGTATTTAGGAATGATATATATAATTTGGTAGAATAATTTAATCATATATATTAATTAATTTAAAATTTTAAAAATAACCTATTAAAAGGTTTGAAATGATATAATAAATTATTTTAAAATTATTTCGCAGATTGGAATGTCGCAAAAGTCTCCCTGCATTTAGGTATTTGTATATGTAATTATGAAATTAATTGCCATATATACAAATAGTCTATTAAAAGGCAAGATATTTATTTATATAATAATTATTTTCATATTAACGTATGTAACTGTCAATTCCATAATTACATATAGGTATAATAGGATAATAATATATTTATATATATATTATTATATACATATACATCGTACATCATATAGAATTATTAGGATCGTATTTAAGAATGATATATATAATTGGGTAGAATAATTTAATTATATATATATATATATATATATATATATATATATATATATATATTTAAAAGTAACCTATTAAAAGGTTTAAAATGATGTAATAAATTATTTTAAAAATTTTGGCAGATTAGAATGTCGCAAAAGTATCCATGCAATTAAGAATTTTTATTTGTAATTATGAAATTAATTACCATGTATAAAAATAGTCTATTAAAATGTAGGATATTTATTTATATAATAATTATTTCCATATGAATGTATGTAATTGTCAATTCCATTATTTACAATATACATACATAATATACTTTAACAATGTAAAAAAAAAAAAAATTAACATTAACTACTACAAATTTATAGGCCATGCATCGCACGAGTATCATACTAGTGTGTATATATATATATATATATATATATATATATATATATATATATATATATATATATATATATATATTAATTATTAAGTTTTATTCTATGTTATAATTCCTATGTTAATATTCTTATTATTATTATTATTAACACTTGATTACTTTTAGATATTATTATAACCACTAATATTATTATTATTTTCCTGTCAAGTCCTATTAGTATATAAAGACCATGAGGCATAATAATAATATAACCTATAGAGGTGAAACTTTGGAAGAATGACCAGGGGTCGAGTCTCACCAGCGGCAGTGCGGGAGCTACCTCTCAAAGTGAGTGGGGTTCCTTGTGCGCAGTGAGCAAAGGTCTAGCCTCTGTGATTCATGTTCAGTTGAGTTACCATTATTTACATCCTCCCAAATGCTCTGTCGGGTCGGAGTGTGAGGGGCCCTTAGGGTTGGGGTTCAACCTTTTGGAAGAATATAACCTTAATTAAATATTCTTGTATTCTATTCCGTGAGGCACAATACTAATAT